TGTTGTATGGCGTCAACTCTCAAGATAATTTAGAATAGAACAGTTCAGATGAAATTACCATCTCAGCCACCTAGAAACTAACTTGGACACAATGCAAGGAATGTTAGGTTGCTTAGAGTATCTATTAATCTAGAGACCCTTGAAATGGCACTTTATCAAATTAAAGGGAAAAAAATGTACATTTTAATCTTTCTCTTGGAAAATAATTGGAGTCATTTGTTTTTATTTCTGCTATAAAGGAATAAGGGAATGGAGTTTTCCATGTGTTTGGGGGTAAAATGAGGACTAGCTGTAATTAAAAACAGAAAAAAGCCTAGCACTTTCCTTTCCCTCCAGTCCTATTTTCTCAGTCCTTTCCATCATTTGTCTTTAACAGTTTCCTCTGATTTCTTAGCTTTCCTGATAAAAACAAGTGTTGTTTTTTTTTTAACTCAGAAAGTAAACTAATAGATAAACAAGATTCCCACGAGATAGCAGCTCAAGTCATTAATATATTCCTATCACTATGTATTCCTTTTGAAAATTGCATAAGATGATAAACCAAAGATTTTGAGAGAGAAACTTATTATGAACTGAAGAATGTAGTTAGGCAACAGTCTCCAAGAGACTTGTCACAATTTTAAGAAATGTGTCAGGACTTGATTTTGCTTTATAAGGAAGTATTAAGTTGCTTTAAAAATAGAAATATGTGTTGTAGAAGGATGACATTCCATTCATAGTGCTGCTAAGGGTGCTTCACTAGTAAAGCTGTTACATCTTTAGAAGAGGGACTAAAGGGTAAGGAAAGCTGTCCAAAGCACAGCAGCTGGAAGTAGAATAGTTTTTAAAAACTCACATGTGATCTAGATTCCAAGTAAATCACGGAATTTGTGAATTATGTGATATAAGTTACTACTCGGTGGTTTTATATCTGTTACAGAGACTGATACATATCTCAAAATAGAATAGAATAAATTATGCAAGAACTAAACTGGGATTTCTAGTAAGCAGGTTTTAAAACACTAAATGATTTGTCCTACTAGGATCTTCTTCAGTCAACAGTGAAATAGAGAAGTAAGAGAATGAAATAGATAGTAAAATACGAACTGTAGTATTTCCAAGGAAAATGTTATTTGTCTGAACATGGCAGAGAGATGTTAAACATTATGAGCCAACTAAAATTATCAGTAAAATTTGGGTTTCCTCACATGCTGGGCATGGATGTCCCATTGGGTATGCTGTGTAAAATTCAGTCTACTTCTGCATAAAGATATGCCTGAAGCAGATACTAAAAAGAAACTAAATTATGGATTAGGATCGACTTTGGGGGAAAGAACTGAAAAGAACTCAGATGTGAATAGAAACCAATATTTCATTGCCTAAAGATCAACTGTGTTAAAAATGGTGAGAAATTTAGAGCAGGATATAACTTGGAAAGAATCACCCTCAGGAGAGTATGCACAACATCAGGACAGTAAACCTCCCATTGCCCCAAAAGAGCTTTTTCCAGAGCTTAGTTACAGCAGTTTATTTCCTGAAGGCAAATTGTCAGTCAGCAAGTATTCTCTTCAAATACTTCTGAGTTTATTGGTGATAAAGACACTATAAGTTTAGAGGCAGAAATGGCAAAGGTCGGTTCACAAGTGGAAGAATATTTTAAAATATCTCAAGGTTTCCTGCTTTGCTTAGCACAAACAGGGAAATAAATACCTGTCTACATAAAAGAAGGTTATAACAACCACTGCGTTAGTGGCCTGCTATTTCAAAATCACAATGTTGGCAACATCCCCGTGCCAACAGAAATGTGAATGAAAGAGTGAGGAATAACTGCATTTATGAGGGGACTCTATTTGTCACCATTTGGCTCTGTCACTGATATGCTGGTGGAGAAAATACTGCTGTTGGGATTTGCTGACAGGGCCCAAAAGCTCTCTGGGTAGTGAGTGGGAAATTTTTAGGAAACTGCTTTATAACCTGATCTTTGCTTTGGGAAATTGCTTTGGAGATCAGGTTCAGTAAAAACAGCAAAATTCTACTTTACCTAAAGACCACTTTCTGAAGGGAGGAGTTGATCCCAGAGTTCATGCAGCATGCAGTACACATTTCTGCTATATTGCAAAACATTAGTCTCTTTATACAAATGCCTTATGTTCCAGACAGAGCAGGTATCAATGTTCAAAGCAAACCTGACATGGACAAAACTAGGATTTCTTGTTTACCCAGCATGCATGATCATGAATTACACACATATGAAGACATAAGTCACACTGCAGGTGTCTGCACTCTTAACTTACACTCCTTAGGAGTTAGTCATACACTCCTAACCTCAAGCATGGGTTCTGCCTGTGTCAAGTGGATTCTCCAGACTTATCATTGAAGTGCAAAAGTTAAGTGGACTTCTGGATGGAAGGCTATGATAAATCAGAAATTAGGCCAACTTGAATGTGGCTTAAAATAAAGAGAAAATAAAGAATAAAGTATCATGCTGAGACTCCATGTCCAGGACAGCATGAAGCTCTCCCGCGTCCAAAGCAGCAGCAACTCTCTATCTCTAGCCTACAGTAACCTCCAGGAGAATGCTTCAGCTCTGGGACATATTGACGAGGAAATGAAAGAGATACTTAATCTCCAGTTTAACAATGTAACAGCAGAGAACAAATCATTCATAAAAATTGAAGCAGGCAGTCATCATATCATTCATTTGGGTAGGCTGATATGGGCTGGACTGGCTGGGAAGTAGATTCCTCATTAAGTGAAGTCAATTATATAAGCCAATTACCAGCTTTATTATTGGTCCTCATATGTTCTACTTAAAATTCATCCATGTTAGAGACCTATTCAAGTTGTTCTCTTTCTCTGTTTTCCCAGAAGACTCCTGGGAGTCCTGTTGAATCAAGACAAAGAGCTATATTAGCACTGAGTTCATACCTCACAAAGGAATACATGTGGGCAGACCAAATGTTTATAAAGTATGATTGTTTTCAAAGAAATTTTGTATATTATGAAAAGTTTATAAAGCATTATCTCTTTTTTATTTCCCTAAAAATCATAGTTCATTGATTATATTTACTGATAACTCTTTTCAAGAGGGAAATTAATGGTTCAGGGAGACACGTAAGTGCGTCTTAAGGACTGCTAGGAAGATAGAGTAGAAATATGTGTGAGCAAGGTACTATGACTGTTCTTCTGAGGCAATAAAACATATAATGAACCTGGTCTAGCCCTCATAAATGGCAGCCATCTGTACCCTCCATCCTGGAACCTAAAAGGTGCAGGCTTCCTGGTGATTTTTTTCTGTTTATTCCACTCTTACTACACTTTCAAAGCAGAAGCACAACTTGCATTGCAACACTCAGTACTGTAAAACATACATTAGTTAAAGGAGAATTTTCTAAATTAATTATGTCTCAAGCCTAGCAAAGTATTGACAGGATTAGATTATTTCAGTGGGATCTCAGAAAATGGTACTCTGATATGTTCAGAAAAACTTTCAGGTAAAGGATTCAAAAGGCAGAATAAAATAAAATAAAATAAATAATAAAATAGTAACTTTCAAGTCTTTCTGATGTCTTTGACTGAGACCAACACAGAGCTTTCCAAAGTCTGTAATGAACGGCACCTGCTTTTTATTTACAGCACTTTATGCAAAGAGTTCATGCTAGGAATCATTACCACCTAAACCAGAGTCACCTGATATTTCAAAAGTAAGAACCTTTCTCATGGCAGGGATTATGGCAATGTAAAATGCCCACAACCCACAGTCACCCACTAGGGCTACACTGATTTGGCCACTACTGCTAGGGAGCATGACTGTGACACTCAGAATATGGCTGAGCTTTCTAATTAATGTTGTACCTTCACTGGACAAGACTGCTTAAGAAGCTTGTGTTTATAGCATTGCACTGCAATTTGTGCTGAAAGCACATAGTGAAAATAGTATATTGTTACAGTCCTGACTGATATACTAAGTCAAACATGTCAGAAGTAATAAATTTAGGCTGGAGAATGACCCATAATGCTAATCATTACAGCAAGGATAGATCTGAAAGTGTTGAAGATGAATGTGGTTACTGCTGGTTCTGGAGATATTGATTTTGAGAACTGCCTATTTCCTCTGTTAATCTCACTGGTTGATTAATAATAACTATCATTCTGAACAATATAAATTAATCAATCCATTAACAACATCAATCTGCCTTTTTAGCATCTCCAGAGCAACTGCTACCTTTGATACAACATCTGTGGTATCTGCTTTGTTTAGCAGATGCTGTGGCAGTGTCCTAGAAGATTTTAAGCATATTTATTAGTTTGATATAAAATGCATGAAAGAAGCACATAGACTTACTGCTTTGTTTCCTCCTCTCAAAATTGCAACTGGGCCAGTAACACGTAATACTAAGTTAATTTAGTCAAGATACTTGAGAGCCACTTGGCTCTGTTTCTAAATTCCTCTCTTTGTCCTTTGCAACGCTTTGAAGTGTTACTCTGTGAGGTGGATGCTGTAATGAGCCTGTTTCTAAGAGGATCAAAGTAGCAGAGCTGCCCAAAGCTGCATCAAAGATACACAACAGAGAGCCCTTTAATGAGCAAGAGGGATATAACTCTTTTCCCCAAAAAATAAAACACTAAACCAGGATTTAGATTAAATTTTTAAAATTGAAAATTATTTTATTTTGTCTGGAGCTTGCTAGCAAAAAGTAAAAACCTCAGAGAGAAGAGAAAATTTTTCCAGCTGACTCTGCTAAAATTTAACGACTGTCATTTGCTGGATGGTTTCACCATCACTTAAAGGAGTCCAAATGCCTGTGGCCTAAGCTAAAAGTGGCAGTGACCACCAGCATGGGCACAGGCAGGATAGCAGCCTTGTGCTAGAGCAGATTCCTTTCCCATGGATATGAAAATAGAAAGCAAACATACGGCAGGAAGTTGCAGCAAGCACTGCAGAAAGAGAAGACAGCTTGGAAGGGGAGCAGGGGGGAAGGGTGGGAGAAAGAAAAGGAGTGGGAGGGAGGACTGGAAATGTAAATTATGTGCCAGGAAATGAATTCCTTACAATGTCTCTTGCCAGAAGCTAAATCCTAGTACATGTAAGTCATCTTTTTTCCCTTTCTTTTGCTCTTTGCACAGTTCCTCTGAGGGTCAGAGAGGAAGGAGCAGGGACAGGGAGAGGGGAGATTCAGTGTTTACTTACTTATTGTGTGACGAAAGAGCTATACGATCCAGCTTTATCATCAGAAGGCATGTGACACCATAAAAGAGATGAACAGGATAATATCCTGCTTCTCATTAGAGGGGATTTTTTCATCTTACTTTATTTGGCCACAGGGATTCTTCAAGGGTTGAAATACCAGAAGAAATGTGTTTCTGTTCAGAGGCTGAGTGTACTTACTGCACTGTATTTGATAATGAAATGGGGTCTTATTTGTTTGACTTTACAACTCTCTGTGAAATATAGCCTCTGCTTATGTTTGGTTTTGTTTAAGGAATTACCTGCAGCATCTTTGAATGCTGTAGAAATGTATGCCAATGACCCATGCTCAACTTGGGGACAAAAATGACAAGACTTATGTTTGAGGTTTGGTGTTTTTTCCAGAATGTAGCAGAAAACATCTGGCAGAAAGTTTAACTTTGATAACAAACCAAAGTACACTTCCAGCTTGTAAGAGATCAATGAAATATGATGCAGTGAGCAGAATGAGTAATGAAGCTGGACACAAAGTAATTATTTAATGCAGCAACATTTATTGGGCATTATGAAAGGTACTCCTTCCATATTTTTTTTCCTTCCCAGCTCAGACAGTACAGGATACCACCTATCTCAGCATGTGCAATGCTGTGGACAAAACCAGTATCATTTTCTTTGAAGATATTTTGTGAGTAAAAGCATTGGTCATTTTCAGATACAAGGAACAAAGATACTGTCTTTTCTCTTTTTTTTTTTTTCTTTTTTTTTTTTTCTTTTTTGTTTTATTAACTGCAACACTACAATGCTTATGAAAATCTGTACATAGCAAAATTTTGTAATTTAAATTAGTAAAGTCATGTAAGAGGCTGTTTTCAACAAAAGCTGCTGAGAACCCAAGAGTTTCCAGTGAAAGGAATTGGCTGGTTCCATATAGTGTTTTAAAAAGAAAGGAAAATTTATTTTTAAGAATGACTCAAAGTTAAACCGTTTTCAAGCACCATCATTTCTACTGATTTCTTCTGCTTCAGTACCAAGGATAACCTATATTACTCCATTTTGATAATGCCTTAACTCAGGAATAATAATTTTTGCATAAGAATGTTTTATTTCCCACATAGACTTAAAGAATCCCTAAGATTCTTTTAAGCATTCCATTTTTCTTCTATTGATCTATTTAATTACTAACAAAAATTAATATATTTTAAATTTAAACAATTTGTTTTATTGGTGAGCATAGTTCTACTCAGCCTTTACAAGCATAATTTCTTAACAGTACTAGTTTAGACATTGTTTGCTATACCTTTTAGCTGGATTAATCTGGCTATTGGAAATTTTGGGTAAAAACCAGAAATATTTTTTCCCTCAAAAGCATAGGATTAGCTAATGTCAAGCTGTGGGATACTACTCTCCCAGGAATTTACTGTATTAGTTTAGCTAAGCAGTATCTGAGCTATTTACTTCAGTCTTGCTGCATTAATGCTCCTAAAATGCGGACTTGTAGCAATAGGTGATACATTAAGTGTTCCAAAAACTCTTCCATTCAATGTAAAAACAACTTGTAGCTTTGTTGGGTATGCATTTCCAAATGTAAGTTTTCAGTACTGTTAGTCATAGCTTTTAAAGGTTTCTCTGATAAAATAGAAGCTGCCTAGTCCTTTCTGAGTAGTTGTTTCCTCTGAGTATCATCAAGGAGAAACCTCAATGAGAAAGACTCAAGAACAATGCCATTTCCAAACTGTAGCAATGACCTACCTGGAGGCTGCAAGGCTCTCAAGATATGAGTTCTCTCAGTTAACTTCTCTAAAAAAAAGCAAAACAGTATGTACCACAGGTTCTAAGTATATTACATTATGTTTAAATATAAAATATGCATCTCTTTCTACAGATATCACATAATTCTTGCTGTCATTGCTTTTGTTGACAGACCATAATTTTTGTAAAGTGATGAGATGCCTAATTATGATACTTGAATAAATCTGATATAATAATGTTTTCATTGTCAAAACCGTGTATGAATAACAGCAACTGAAATCAAATGCATTTTGACACCTCTGTGCTACTCAGAATCATGCACTGAGATGCCTGAGTAGAGCAATGCTTGTCTAATGTCCTGTCAAATGATTTTCTAAAACTCTGTACTCAGTGAAAATCAAGATAGATGTCATATCTTTATGCAGGGATAAATATTTGTGCAGATCACATGGTCTTAGGATTCTCTGTACCTGTGGTACCTGAAGCAAGATATCTTAGATGCTTTGGCATCCTTTTTCAAAAACTGGGCAAAATTACCCCTGCAATATATATATATATAACTGCAATACAGTTATTGTTGGTTTGCAATACAGATTCACAAGCAAGGCACACTGGGAATATTGTGAGGCTGCTGAAATATTTCATGAATTAACATGCTTTACCCTTGAAGCACCAAGACTCTAGCTCCTTTTCTGCCTACAAGTATAAGGAAGTTTTACTGTGTAGCCCAAATATAATACATAGACAGTAATTTTAGGAACATCTGTCTAAAGGAATTGCAATTTGTATTCATTCTCCTATTCTATACTTGAGACCGCATCCTTATGAAAATCAAACTCTTAAATAATTTGCTTGACCTTGTTAAGAACATTTCACTTCACTTGGGTGTCATGACCATATGGTAGTGCATAAGCAGTTCACTTAGAATATAGCAAGGTGCTAAGTACTTCAAGTCTCTTCTATTAAACTTACAAACACTTCATTTTTGGTTTGTTTTATTGTGCTTGGCATTATTGAGGCAAACTCATAGCTATATATATTATGTCCTAAAAAATTGTAAATCTGTCTATTTGAATATCACCAATTATGCTAGTTGGTTTAAATCTTATGTGGAAACCCAGAGCTATTTGGCCAAATTCTTTGATCGCATAAAACATATTAAATGGTGTGTTTTAATAAACGGTTTCCTTTGCATTGTAAAACATTGATTTAAACATTATAAGAATGTACTCTTTCACATAAGTTATTGATATTTCCAATTTCCTGTCTAGAGGTATCAGCAGGTTAAGGATTAGATAAACTCATGGTCAAAAGATCATCAAATAGATTAAAAAGGGGTACATGCCTGCCTAGTCCTAAACCAGATAGTACCACAATGCTGGGCTGGACTTTTAGAGGTACAAAGGCTCACATGTTCTTCCCTATAACATTCCTGGAAGCTAGGCCACCAGTCTCACCCAGCAGAGCATTTCTTCAAAAACATTAATCAAAACAATGACAATAATAGTAATAAAAGAAGAAAAAAAGTTACTTATCTCTCTGTTCTTTTGTATAAAATTGTCTTTCTCTTCATACTGTAAAATTAGCTACAAAAAATTAATACTTGTGACTAACACTGATTTATTGTGCAGAGTTAGAATTTAGCTCAAATGCTGCTTTTCATTTTTCAAAAAGTAGCAGTATTTTTTAAGATGATTAGCAATGGCAATGTCTTTTCACTTGACAGAAAAAACTTCAATAACAAGTAACAAAATAGTTCTTTTGTGACCACCACTTACAAAAATACTATTTTCCTTTCCTTCAACCATTTGCGTATGTTTTTATTTGCAGAAAGAAAATCACAATTATATAGACAATTTAAATTCTGAAAGATGTGAAACTTGGATGACTCATTCAAAAATTCTCAGAAATAATCTTGGTGAAGTGATTTTATTCATCTCGTTCTACTTTTCTCAAGGGCTGACATGTGCATCAAAGGGGAATGTGATCCCTTGCACATCTTCTCCATGAGATCTGTGTGTGGCACCATCACTTAAGCTTTGCTGACTCTTACTCAAAGGTATTGCTGAATCCAAGCCAATAGAATTCAGACTGGCATTTCTTCACCTCCTCTGACCAGGGAATAGTGTGAAAGGACAATCTTGTTTCTCTACACCAAGTATTACAGTGTTTCAGTGGACCTGTGTGATCTGTCCTAACAGCTCTGTTGCCATCTGCAATAGTCAATAAACAAACAAGCAGTACAGTTTGGGAAATGGAAACACCAACATTTATATGATATTTACCTGTAACAAAAGCTGTAATTCAATTTTTTGTATTAAAACCAAATTTGTCAGTTTTAAATGTAATCTTATATCAAATCCAAGTCAAACAGTTAATTTTTTACAATAGTATTTTGTTTAGTCACTTTAAGAAACTGTCACTCTATTGGGAACAGTGAGAAGAACGACACGGACTCTCTTGTGAGTTGCTCAAGGTTTATTATCTCAGATCTTCTTTTATAGACCAATATGTGAAAGTACAGAAAGGTAAAACTCTTATTGGTTAGTAAACTAACACATCACCATCACTGGTCAGTGGGGTACACCACCCCTTGACCTTCTCTTGCAAGAAAACAAGGAACAGACAAACAACACCTGCAAGGCTGTTTTCTGTCTGTGAGGATTGTTTTAATTCCTCCCTATGATTTCCCAGGCCACTTTGTGACCTGCTTTTCCACAGACACTGTGCTCCCTGCTTTTGCTCATAGTTAGCATCCATAAGAAACCACTTGAGCTTCCCTTATTGTCTCATGGGATGCGGACTGGAGTAGTCCCCTTTGACACAACTTTGCTTGTCTGATATATCTCCAAGATGCTTCAATATCTTATCTCCAGTTAAACCTCAAAAGTGAACTACAGAATTAAACATATGAATGATACCCATCTGGATAAACGAAGTAATGAGAGAGCCTGGCTTACTGGAATTGATAAATATTTTATAAGAACAAAAGAAAAATTGTACTGGGGCAGATAAAATATTAACTTCATATACATTTGGGCTTTTGCAGTCATCAATAGAAGAGGTAAAACAATACAAGAAAATTAGAATTTAATTGCTTCTTTTGACATGTTGTTTCAGTTCCCAAAAATGCAGCATTTCTAGGACTTCTTGAGCTACAGTTTTCATCTAAGGTACTGTAATATTGACTTTATTCTTCTTCAAATGAATCTGTTTAAACCCATCTATACTTTTTGCCTTCAGAATTTACAGTAGCAATGAAAGCTTCAATTTAAACATGCATTAATAGATGAGTTTACTTGATTCATTTCAAAACTTTTATTTTAAATTTGTGTTGGGTGTCTTCCAGTCACTTACTTGAGAAATAGTAAATAATGGGCTCCCTAACTACTGTGCCAAGCACGATTTTTTTAAACTTGCTCCACATCCCTCTCATTGCCTCTTCCATCCATGTATCCTCCCTTCCTGTAGAAATGGTCTCTATCTTTGATCTTCCCTGTCCTCTCCCATGTGCCTTGAACTGTAATTTCCATAACTTTCCTGAAGCAGTTAAGGAGACACAAAATGACCTTAAATGTATTTAGAACAAAACATTTCAAAATTTCCAAGTAATATAGTTATTTCCCTTCCTGTGTATTCAGCATAATTTAATTCAGTCCCACAGGGATATTCAAATAATTCTTCTGGGAATAAAAACCACAATTCCAATCAGTTTTATCGGAACTTTTTCTAAATTTTGTGAAGCGTGTCCTTACATGTATTTTTCTGATCTATACTGACATCAAGATCGAAGTCTGATTTGCCACACAATTTAAGAAGTCTCAATAATTATTTTGATTAAGACACACATGCATAATTTTTGTTTTTCTTTTTAAGTTGAAATATTTGGTCACCAAATATGGAAGTCAAAGTGGCTGCAGGCAGTTGTGAAACAGACTTCCTTTTGAAGCTGAATGAAGTAAAAGACAGGAAAAAAGGCACATAGTAAATTTGAGTCAGTTTATTCTTTTTTAATAGAGTAAGTCACCTTGATAAAACAAGGTAATGACTTATAAGTCTGAAAAACTCTGTTGATTTTAGTACACTTTCACTCACTGAACATAGAGAAGAATTTATCATTCAGTGTTTTCCTTTAAACAGTCCTACTCCAAACACCATGGTGAAGACAAATATTTTTTGGAATCTTCTAACATTTTCAGACTAAAGCTTGGAAGTTATGCACATATGGTAGGGCAGAGAGATTTCAGTCTCAGAGAAATGTAAAATCTAAGCCAGGCTGAGGCAGCTGAGATCCTGTGCCAAGGCACAGGAGCTATAAGACTTTCTCAGCTTTTCTCAGACAGCATTAAGATAATAAAAATGCATATGCTTATTTTCAAGCTCTGTACCTAGAGAACAAGCACAACATGGCTATGATCCCAACTGCCTGGGAGTGCCTGCTCTGGAGACAGTTTTCTATTCCAAGACAACCCCCTCTCTCCACCAGTCATAGTAACTTGCCTCCTTCACTGTGAAAATAAATCAATCTCAACTGCTGCAGTTGGATCACTTTCTTCTCCCTGCCTCAGCTCCTCAGTCCAGCTCTCCCTTTGAAAGCCCCTTTCCACCGCACCATATGGTAGCTGGGAGAAGGGGAGAGCTATGATCCATCTCATAACAAAAGAGGCTGTGGTGTCAAAAAGCCTCATGAATGCATGAGACACACTCACATATAGAGAAATGCCTCTAGCTCTGTCAGGGAGGACTAAAAAGAAGGCTGATAGACCTGACACTGCTTTTGGATTGAGAAAGGCACCAGCTCTCTCTGCAGGTCATCCCTTCCTCCCTCCCTTTCTTTGGTTTCATGCAAAAATCCTATTAGATCTATTAATAAATAGGACACAAAATCAGAGTGTGTGGCAGAACAAGAAATTAAATCAGACCACCTTATTTATTCCCTATCACTATTTTTGAGATAAAATCATAGTACTGAAAGGAAAAAATAGCCACACCAAACTAGACTCTAATAGTGTGTCAAAAAATAAACAAGTGAATCCTATCCCCGCCAGAAAAGGGATTGAGCACACTTCTGTACATTGCCTATGGTAGCAGATTTACAGCAGAACTGCAAATTGAATGCTGGCAGGGTGACCCTGAAATACTGTTTAAAGCACACTGTTGGGTTCATTTTGCTTCCTCAAGCCACTACTGATACAAAAAATTACTCTGGGGTCAGAAAATTAACTGGACCTATGACAATGTGTGCCCTTTGAACTGTTACAGAGGAATTACAATTAATTTTTGACTATGAAAGAAATGCAAACTGGCACTTACAAAACATATTTTCCTTTACCCTCTTTCTTCTGTTTCACATTCTAATTTTCTGTTCTGGTGATGTTTAGAGTGCTTCATTTCACAGACATGCTTAAAATGCATTCATAACCTTCACGCACACAGTTGGCACAATGATAGAATTTACAAATCTGAAATACATGGATTACAAACTTCTATCAATACAAGGGGGGAGGGAAAACCACCACTCCTGTGCAGCAGAATGCAACAGCATGTATTTAATGAATAACACGTTACTGAACTTAAATATTCCATGAATAACTTCAGTTTATAAGTTTCATTTATTTCATTTATAGCTTCAGTTTCTGAACATAATGGGGACAACTGTGCTGTTTTATCTCCATTAAATGAAGTCTAGTTAAACTCTTTAAACTAGAATTAAGTTACTGTTTCTGCCTCTTCCCTACAAAGGCCTCTGAAATCACACAGCTCTCTGTCCCTGGAGTTACTTAAAGCAACCTGGGCAAGCTTCCAAATGCTCATATATGTGACCTTTACAAGTATTCCACAAAACCAGCTCCCAAGTGAAATAAATCCATGAACATGTGTAGAGAAACTCAGCAGCGGCATGGAGGCTAAAAGATAAACTTCTATCAACTCTGTTGAATTGTGTCCCTACAATCAGCTTAGAAGTTTAGTTTAGAGGATTTTACTTTAACATATGTAATTACATAAAATATGTTTGTAATATCTCCTGAGTATTCCTTCTTGGAATGCACTTAATATAAAGCTATTGAACTGAATATATATGCATATATTGAAGATACTCTTTATATGTTCATCACATGTTACAGACAGCTTTCAAAAATAAACTATAATGAATTATGAAATGTAAAAGTTGCACTGAAAAAAAAAAAACATGAAAGTGTCTGTTTAAAATTAATTCTGCCATGTTGTTGGGAAAAAAACTCCTATAAACTGCTCAGGAATGCCTCTGGAATGACTCTGGGGAGGTGAGTAAGTGTGGTATTTGACAGACTTAAAACTTCAGTGCACTCTGGGTTTCTTGAATTGTAACAGGCAGATTTTAGGCTCTCATCTTGGGAGTGGGATTTGTGCCGGGTCCCTGCTGGGAGGGAGGGAGGGAGGGAGGGCAGGCAGGGAACAATGCCGCCATTCAGCCCAGCCACATCTGTTTACATGGCCTGTGCCCACCTCTGAAAAGGGTGTTCCTCCCACCTCCATTTTATCTCACATGGCCCTGAACAGTGAGCGGTCTGAGAGCTTTTCTGCTGGAAAGCTGCAGTTTCAAATTTATTTTATGAGGCCAGAGCTGACAGAGCTGAAACTGGCTAACAATAACATGCACATTTCTAGTCTGGGTTGTATTTTATTGTAATCTGAGAACAGCTTTAAAATTGTCCAAAACTCCCCATTTTCAAAATAAGACTAGCACTGAGGATATTGACACTGAACTTGGGGAGCCAAACTTTACAGTCTTTCAACTGAAAGACTGTATCTTGTCAAACATTTTTAAGAAGTTTTTCCTTTAAAACAAATTTTGTGCCTCAGATATTTTTAAACAGTGCTGACAGCACTCAGAGAAGGACTAAAATGTGTATTTTACAAAAAAGCATTTATGTCTTACATTTTGTTGTCCATGGTTAGAGCCCATAGCTGTACATTCTGCACTTCAATAAACAGTTCATGTAGAAATACTGTGACTAAAGAAAATTTCTGTTAAGATACCAGTTCTGCAACTTTCAAACTGAACATCACTTTATACAGAAGACACTTCACAGAAACAAACATACGAGGCTAAAATGATTGAAGACCAACAGATTTATCCCCCCTTGTTATTTGAATTGAAACTTGAGCTGATATAAAATGACACATGTATTTCAGAGAGTCAGAAGAAGCCCATGATAACCAGGGAAAGTGGGAGATGCTAAAAATTCTCCTAAAGCTGACCACTCTCAGTGTACTGGTGTGTGATCAAGTTTTATGAAGCAATATATAAACACACAGCAAACTTTACGCATTCAATGTCAGCATGATTTGTCTCTGCTGATTAACTCATAAACTTACAGAAGTTTTGCCCAAATAAGAAATGCAGGCTCGTATGTCTGCCAAATACGCCACAGTAATTGCACCATAAAACTGTTAAGTTTGCAAGTGTACTGAAATTCATGCTATAAGTGGCATGTTGATATCATGATACTCTGGATATATAATAGAGAAAAAATCCAGCAAGTTCCAAGGAAGATTACAAAGAAAAATTCTAAAATAAAAAATAAGATAGTCTGCTACTTATGAACTATTAAATAGCAGAAAATGAGATAAAGACAAAATGTGAAAAACCTGAAAAAGAGTCTCAGAAGAGGATTATTGAGGTGTAAACCCTTATTCTCAGCTGAATTGCTGTGAACTTGTGTAGTGCTTGGTGATTTGCTGTGCAGACTTTGTTTAACATTCACTTCAGTCTGACATTCCTGCTTCCAGAAGCCAAACTGTATTCAAGATTAGCTTACATTACATTATTTATTTTCCTGGTGCTTTTCTTCTAGGTTCATTAGTTATCATGATAATGGCAAGACCATATAAGTAAAGAGAATCTGAGCAAAAGATTTGCTTATTCAGTATTGAACTTGCTCAGTGATGGCTGTCACATTGTTTTTAACTTCTCTTCCATGAGGAAATTTAATCTAATGATTTCTTTATGCACAAAGAAATTATTTATTGTAAGGTCCTAGCAGAATCAGGGACTGTTGTTCAAGTTGAGCCTTCCTGTCTTCTCTGTTTTCTTTTAATATAAATGGGACAGCCTAAATACAAAGGAGCAAAGGACAGAGAAGTCCTCTTCCTTGCTCTCCATGTTCCTATATAGTACAAGATAAGAGAAGGACCTTGACTCTAGAGAATATGTGCAGTGGTTAAGTAGGACGGGACTGTCAAAGGCTCCCACAAATTTTGGAGATTTGCCAGTCTGTGCCCATCTCAAACTAATGTTTGTATGCTCTGTAATATGCAATCACACCACTTACATCCTTGGTGGAAAAGAAGGATGGCAGTAAATTGCACTAAGTCATAAATTGAACTGTATTAGGTTGTGACTTAATAGAGCCAATAAGAATCTACAGCTCAGACTTTGTCCTTTACATGTACTGGTGTACCAAAATATCACAGCACAGCTGATGAATAGGTACTGTTATTGGGGAGGTACCATCAGCATGTACTAGAAAAAAAGCATAGAGTGAAATCCCAGACAATATGGATCTAATCTGAGTATAGGAGCTCCCTAGGAGCATTGCAGCCTCAGCAAAACAGCATCCTTGAGAGTAACCTGCCCTCTTTTCAAGTCCAAAACAGCCTTGCCAGTGATGTCAGTGGGGCCAATATATCATCTTGAAAGGTCAAGATTTACAAAATATACTTTGATATAAAACAAAGAACTTGCCTGAACATTTAAGAAAATAAATGTTTTAGAATCTGAAGTATAAATCATACACTGTACTGCAGCTAGCTGCAAAAATAGGCATCAGAAACAAGTAACTGAGCAAAAGGAGAAAAGTAGAGTTTTATAAAATCTGCAGCAAAAAATTAGGTCATTAAATTCAACTATTTTCTTCTTCTTCTTCTTCTTCTGCATTTGTCTTGCAGAAGGCAAACTGTTACTTCTATTGAAAAAAGAAAGTAATTTAGTTCTGTCACTAAATGTTAGCCAAGTATGAACAGCCTAAAATTCAAGTTAGACACATATTTTTTAAATTAAAGGAGTGTCACACAAGAATAAATGGTACAATATCCAGGGATACATTTATACACAAACCTCAGTGGCTTTTTGCCTTACCTTTTTCTCCATCATTAGCTGTTTGTTTTTTGTTTTGGTCTTTTTTGTTTTTCACTTTGTTCATTACTGTTAACTTAAATATAGAACATGCTCAGTGATTTTGGTTACTGATTTTCATGCTGTTGAAACATAGCCTCTAGTTTTCATTAAAAGGATTAAAGTACTTTATTTATCTACTAAGTAAGCACTACAAACATAAAGAAAAAGATAACTTCTCGACAGCTTTTACCCCACAATTTGTCATATGATGTCTTAAATAAAAAGCTGTCTAAAGTAGTGTGTAGTTTACTGAGATTTCCTAAAGGATTTTCATTTACTAACAGTCATGATCATACTTTTACAGTATGTGCATGTGTTCCCCTAAGAAAACAGTACGAATGGAAGCGAAATCCATCAAAATGGCTCTGACAGAACACTATATTGAAAATTAAGAATCAGAATCATATTACTTCTGTGTCACAAATTTATAGTTCACATCTGATCTTTCCTAACTGAAGCAAACAATTGTGTGATTTGTAACAGGTTTTAAACTGTACTGTTTTCTTTTCTAAATGATGCTTCTTTTCAAAGTTTACAAAATTACTGTAAACCTAATGAAGTTTTTGAAAGGGCGTGAAAATAAACTGAAACATTTCAAAGGGAAGATTTCAATTTAGCCCCAATGAAAACAAAGAAACATTTACACATCCCCAGCATATAATTATTCTCACAGAGGTAACACTACTAGGCAGTAGTACTTTCACTACACTGCCTGTTGTAGATAAAGATCATTAAATTGTGTCTGTCTGGATTCTTATGCTGCTTACTTGAACATTTGAACCTGTTGCTTGAAGGGGAGGGAACGGGAGAAGGTGAAAAGACTATATAGCATTGCTAATCCCTTGAGCCATCTGGTGACTTGAGGCCATGCTTTAGGTTACGTGTATATTGAAAACCCATTCCTTTCATTCATTCCTTCCCTGTGCCAATTTGTCATTGGCTTTTTTACTGTCAAAGGATTCCTTGAAGTTAATCACAGTGAGAATCAATGTCTTTTTATGCCACAGTAAATATTCATTCTGGAAAGATTATTTTCTATCCATTTCTTCCCCTCCCCTCTACTACTTGCAGTGATTTGTAAAAATTGCTGATGCATTTTCACCAGAATTAGCTGAAAACAATGGCAACTTTGTCTTTAGTAAAACAGCTAATTTCTTTAGTAAAACAGCGAATTTCTTTAGTATTTCTGTGTAATCTGGATGACTTCTAACAGATGACATACTCTGAAATGCCCATGTTATGCAGGGCTTGAAAGAACTGCACCTAAACACTACCTTCTAATTGAGCTGAGGGTGCATTTGCATGTTTAATTATCCAGGAACCAATCTGCACCTACCCTTGTACACCGCAAGCCTTTCAAACCTGCTAAATTTGCATCCATACCAATACAGCAGATTGTACATTAAGCCTGTCCAAAAAACTGATGATTTTCTAGAGCGCACATTAATTTTTCATCTGTGTATATACATGGTTCCATATGAATCCAAATCAATTGTGACTCAGCCATGAAGCATCAGAGACTTCACAGCTGTTTGACATCTTTAAGTTTCCTAAAAACTGGACAAAATGACACCTCATAGTGTTGCAGTTAACTTTCAATGCGTTTTGCACTATTTCTCAATTCATGCATCAGATTGTTTTTTATATCGTGTTCTCTGAAGTAGCTGCAAAGTAAATCTGTCATAAATGTGCTGATTCTGTGCACTTTGAAGTGAAATCATGTTCTACTGCATGCTCTTCCCATATATGAATTAATTCTTCACCATCATTTTCTGGATAGATGGCAGATCTGATTTGCGAACCTTTCTTTATCTGATAATCCTTTAACAAAAAACCAAAGCCATCATTTT